GAAACATGGTGGTGGTAGTATCGTGGTTTGGGCCTGTTTTGCTGCATCTGGTCCAGGACGACTTACCATCATTGATGGAACCATGAATTCTGAATTATACCAGCAAATTCTAAAGGAAAATGTCAGGACATCTGTCCGAGAACTGAGTCTCAAGAGAAACTGGGCCATGCAGCAAGACAACGACCCCAAGCACACAAGTCATTTTACCAAAGGATGGTTAAAGAAGGACAAAGTTAATGTTTTGGAATGGCTGAGTCAGAGTCTGGACCTGAATTAAATTGAAATGTTGTGGAAGGAGCTGAAGCAAGCAATTCATAGGAGGAAACCCACCAACATCACAGAGTTGAAGTGGTTCTGTACTGAGGAATGAGCTAAAACTAATACAAGATGTTGTGTAGGACTGATCTGCAGTTACTGCTGCAAAATTGGGTCACACCAGATACTAAAAGCAAAGATTCACATACTTTTGCACCGCACAGAAATGTAACACTGGGTCATTTTTCCTCAATAAATAAATGACAAAGAAAATATTTTTGTCTCATTTGTTTGATTGGGTTCTCTTTGTCTACTTTCAGGACTTGTGTGAAAATCTGATGATGAATTGAGTCATATTTATGCAGAAATATAGAACATTGTAAAGGGTTCACGAACTTTCAAGCAGCACTGTATATATATATATATATTTTTTTTGTTCAATAGATAATTAAATGGCTGATTGGAGCACCACTAGCATACTACTCTTACTACCTTAGTTTGGAGTCTAGGCCTTGGCAAAATATGTAAAAATGTTTGCTTGACTTGACATTACGTTTTATGTGTGCTGAATGAACAAGCAGTAATATTAACCACAAATTTTAACATAACACCCCCTCCCCCAAACTGCTACAGCTGTTTTAAGATGTCATTAATTTTGAAGTGATAATAGTGACTTGACTTGTTGCGTACTAGTTATGTAGGTAGCATGCTAGCATTCCATTCTGAACATAGCCAGTCTTAAAAAAGTTTGAAGTGTACTTCATTCAGCACATCGTTTTTCATCTAGTTTAGAAAATGAATTCGGTTATCTGCTGATCCCATTCAAAGATTGTACTAACAAAACTTAACACGTGAGGCTCAAATCATTCAGCCAGTCATCACTTTATTGTGGAGTAGACCCAACTGGTCTTATACAGACTTGAATACAAACTTTGCAAAAGATAAATAGGACAATTCTGAATCTATTCCACTAACTAAAATTCCAGTTTATTGCAGCGACTACATATTTTAAAACACCTTAGTTCTATAGCATCCAAGGTAGAGATGGCATAGTGCATAACAGAGCAGATATTTATATATGTACACACATAAAATTCACATAGTTCATTTTGACAAGGCTTCAGCATCCACTACAGTCAGTATAGTACACACATTGTCTTTTTTTTTTTTTTTTTGCTAATGCATTAATCCACTGAGATGAATGCATTTCTGTTACACTTTTAAACCTTGCAATATCATGTTTTTCCCACTTAATTTGTCTGGTGGAAAATGATTATATCCCCACCTAACAAAAGGGAAAAATAAAGAGCAGTGTAGTAAGATATCATTGATCAATCAGACACATCAATATGCTCTTATCAAGTATTACCTGAAGCATTCTGCATCATCATGTTACACGCAAAACAATGTGCTTAAATAGTATCATCCTCCTATTCTATGGATAGATATTATTTTTGATGGTGTTTATATTTGCAGAACCGCTGACAACATGCCAGTAGTAGCAATTTAGATTATTCATTCAATACAATGTCAAATCAAAACAAAAACAGAACTTTTGACATGATGACAGTACATACTGTATATATTAGTGAACGTTGCAAGCTCAAACAGAACACTGAATACAGATCAAAGAAAATAACATCTTGCAAGTGATGCAGTTCAAATACAGGTTGATTTCAGTCAGTTGCTCTTTTATAATGAACAGGTCAGTACAGTATGATGCTGATTGCAGTTATCATATCAGAGCATCTCTACAGAGGTTATATACACTGTCTCTCTGCTGTCCATCATTTGGGTTTGTGATTGGACATTTAATATGTCCAAACTTGAATTGGATATTTCAAAAATCTGTCATCTTATTCAGTTGATATGCCGGTTCATAAAAATGTTTCTCAAAATTAGTGACCAGTCATGGCTTAAAGCGTTTTGATAAATGTGGAAAAGCAAACATATAATGTCAAGATAATACTGCAATGAAGAAAAAGTGATCAAAGAAGGCAAACACTTGTCTACTGGTGCAAAAATGACAAAATTGCTTTTGAGTGCTTTTAGTACAGAAAACAAAACCACTGTCATCATGTTGTCATTTAGAGACAAAATGCACTCAAATTCATGTTTGGTGATCATGTTATGATCATGGTTCATAAAACGAGGAGGGTTGCACATGCTTCATTTGACTGTGACATCAGAGCTAAGAGACCTGCTCTTGAACAGGATGCACATTAGAGGGAAAGCTACATAAAAATGGTGCTCTGTGAAAAGCGGTTGTCGTATCCATTAGCTTAACCACGACATTATAAAGCTGAAACATCTGGGATGGAATTGTTTTTTGCATAATTTCTTGTTCAGTGATTTGTGTTTGATCCATACTTGGACCCTATGAAGTCATCAAGATGTCCAGCTATCATGCAAATGGGTTTCCAAATGGGTCTCTGAAAGGATCTAAGCCCACTGTCTTTATGGGAGGTGCACTCTGTAAAGGTCAAAAGAAAAAAGAACCATAAATATTAAAGAAAAAGGAAGAAGAAGAAGAACAAACATAAACATTCTTGAGGCTTTTAGAAAACTCAAAATAATGTTATTGTTTGATCAAATGTTTCATAATCTCTTATAAGGAAGCACATATACATACAGTTGCAGGTACAGATGTGCCAAACAGATTTTTTCCAACGGAGTTGTTGAATGGGTTCTGGCCTCCAATCTTCAGTTCAACTGAAATCAAATATAAACTTTTATTTCAGCTGGTTGCCAAAGCAACATTTCTCATTTTAATTTAGTTTAACTTGATGTACCAAAATAATGAAAAAAAAAAAAAAACTATACAGACTTTAACAAACTAGCAAAAATGACAAAATTACTAAAACTTAAAAAATAAAATATAATAGAACAAAAACAGAAATCTAAAAATAAATTCAAACTATTAATAAAAACTATAATAGTATCGCAATGACACAAAAATATCACTGGTTAATGGTCACATGACATGCAGGTAAACTAACTTTTCATTATTATTTCCTGTATATTTAGTTACATCTTTTTAGATGTGATATCATTGCAGTCCACATCACATTCACACTGTTTTTAGGAACAGAATAATAATAATAACAATAATACATTTATTGTATGCATATTATTTTTTAACTCTAATTTAAAAAAATAAAGACAGAAATATATGTATTTCTGTTGCAATAGTACAACTGCACAATCATATTTGCTAAAATTACTTATATTTACATCTTCAACTATTTACTTTCAAATATTAAACCCTAAAGCTATTATTTTGGTGTTAAACACTCAAGCTTTTTCTGCAGAAGACCTCTGTTTAGGTGAGAACAG